TGCCCAGAGAAGCTGTGGCTGYYCCTGAATYCCTGGAAATATCCAAAGTTGGACAGGGTTTGGATCACCCTGGGATAGTGGAAGGTGTCCCTGCCATGGCAGGGGGGGAATAAAATGATCTTTAAGGTCCCTTCCAACCCAAACAATTCCATGATTGTGAGTGTGGTTGGAGCCACTCCTGACCTCTCAATGTTTGAAGGCAGAGCCTGCAGGGGTGTGTGTGCTGAGCACGGGGGGAAAAAGTGCAAATCCCATCTCCTGATGGATCCAGAAAACTGCATGGGCTGTGAAACAGCTCCTGATGGATCCAGAGGGCTCTGAAACAGCTCCTGATAGATCCAGATCCCATCTCCTGAGGGATCCAGAAGGCTGCACGGGCTGTGAAACAGCTCCTGATGGATCCAGAAAACTGCACGGGCTGTGAAACAGCTCCTGATGGATCCAGATCCCATCTCCTGATGGATCCAGAGAGCTGGACAGGCTGTGAAACAGCTCCTGATGGATCCAGATCCCATCTCCTGATGGATCCAGAGGGCTGGACAGGCTGTGAAACAGCTCCTGATGGATCCAGATCCCATCTCCTGATGGATCCAGAGGGCTCTGAAACAGCTCTTGATGGATCCAGAAAACTGCACGGGCTCTGAAACAGCTCCTCATGGGCTGTGAAACTCCTCTGAGCTCCCARGAAATGGTCAAAGGTCAGGGCAGAACCACACGGAATTGGGCAGAGCGTTATTGGCCCCGCATATTTGGAATTCCAAACCCGCTCACCTCCCACTCTCCCCGTGCTGCGCTGTGGATGTGTGGGTTTTCAAACAGATGTTTTTCTCCTTTCGCTCGGGTGTCGGGGGCTGTGTCCAGACCAGCACTGTTCATTCGCATCCAGGGAAGGGAAGGGAGCTGATCCAGGCGAAGGACAGCGATTGTATCCATGACAACGGGCAGATGTGTCCCCTCCTGTGCCGCTCCATCCCCGGGCACAGCCCCGCTCCCGGGTCCGCTCCTGCGGCACCGCCCTGCAGCTCGGAATTCCTGAGAAATGGGGGAAAAATCCCACAATTGAGCGCATTCCCTGCAGCACCGCCCTGCAGCTCGGAATTCCTGAGAAATGGGGAAAAAAATCCCACAACTGAGCGCATTTCCTGCAGCTCCATCAGCTCTGCAGCGATTCCCCGGCTCGGGCTGCGTGCGCTTCACCGGGAGGGGCTGCGGGACATCCGAATTACAGAAATTCCGCGCAGGAGCGGGGTGGGATCGGCAGGATGAGAGAATGCAGAGCCAGCAGGCAAAATGAGGTTTATTCTGACAAAAAAAAATGGGTTTGGATGTGCTGGGCATCTTTAGAAATGCAGCTGAGCTGAGCTGAGCAAGGGGATGTGGCGCTCACCTGCGTGGGAATGTTGGCAGAGTGGAAGGTTTTTGTTCTSTGGATCRTTCTCTGCATTTTCATTCTCTGTCCAGGGAACAGGAGCTGCCTGGGCTCTGCTTCCCCAAAATCTCCGCAGTTCCTGCATTCCAACCACTGCCCGGACCTGCCTGGGGAACGCCGGCATTTGAGAAAGCTGCACTCGCACCCAGCGAGGAGGAATAGAAAAAAATCTGTCAGAAAAGCAAAAAAAACTCTTCAAGGCAGCCCAGTTTTCCTCATTTCCAGARCCCCTGCTTTATCCTTCAGCGTGGTTTTTAGGGAAGAATGTTCCTGGATCAAAACAAGGGGATCCATCGTCTCTTCCTCCACAGGGGAAAAGCAAAGCAGAGGAGGAGAGAAAGGAGAAAGGAGAGGGTGAATGGCAAACAGGATGTGGAATTCAAGTTTTGGCCTGACATCGCAAAACCTGACTCAGTTTCCCTGCTTGTGTGAGGAGCAGCGAGCTCTGGARATGATTGGTCAATATTAAAAGTACAAAGAGTTTTAATTAATCGACAATCTTAGCAAATTAGGCGAGACTGTAAATTGTAGCAGATATTTGGGACTCAGCCTTGTGAACTTCTGTGCATTTCCTTGCKTGTGTAAAAGCAGCATCACACAAAGCAGGCAGGGAATGAAAAATCCGTGGATTCAGAAAAAAAAAAAAAAGGATGCAGTGAGCCTGAAATATCTATTAATTCAGAAAAAAAAGGATGCAGTGAGCATTGTGTGATCATGGGAGAATCACTTGGGCAGCTTTGGGAATTACGAGTCCAAATTGGATCTGGAAGTGATACAGATCAGTCTCCATCCGCTTTGGAAGTGCTTTGGGGATGTCCTGGTTTTGGCTGGGATAGAGTTAATTTTCTTCTTAACTGGCTTAACGAGTGTTGTCAGCAAAGGAAAAATGTTACMCAGCCAGCTGCAGAGGCAAAAAATATCTACAATTGTATTTGAGGAGGATTTGATGGTTTTAAAACCAAACTAAACCCACGGTATTTTGAATTTTCAGCGAATGCAGCACYGACAAAGGATCCAGCTGATCCAGAGTCTCTGTTTACCACAGCAACAGCTCTTCCCAGCCTGCAACTGTCTCAGAAAAAATGCCAGGCTATATGTTTTAATCACTGTATTTAGCCACRGCAGCACCCAAACAGCAGATTTTGCTTTTTGCGTCCTCTTTCCAGGATCAAGGATGYTTTTTATAGCTGTTCTTTGACTGGAAATAAACCCTGGGGGACACCACCACCTCGTTTCTSTTCCCCTGCCTTGAACTCAGCAGCAATCTCCTGGGGCACATTTCACCTTCTGTGAATCCAGCTCGGGTTTAGCATTATCTGGTGCAGGAATTGAGGGTTTTTAGGCTCAGAATATTTTCCATCAGTTGAGAAAAGGCTTTTCTTGGAGTCCTGGATGGGGATGGAGAGCATGGAGGGTTCCCCTCAGCATCACTGCTGAGTTGTTGTGCTGTCAGCACAGCCTTTTTTGGGTTTTKTTATAATTTTGAGATACTGTAGAGCTACCTCAGCAAAATCCTCTCCTTTAACAGAAATACCTGCAGAAATGCAGGAGATAAGTAATTTGTGGTCTTCCCAATGTCTTTAATTTGCTGTTTTGCTAAAAGATGTGGGCAGGATAATTTGRCAGTTTAATTTAAGTAAAGCTTTGTGATTTCTGTCTTTATCAAGTGAAATACGATGCATTTCCTGCATCCCAACAACATAGAAATGCATCATTTTTGTCTCCATCAGCCTTGTTCTGGAATTGCCCATGAACCTTTCACTGAGACCTCAAAGAAGACTCGATTTTCTATTATACTATAACTTTTCAACCCCTCAAAAGTTACTTATTTATAACTTAAAAAAAAAAAATAAAAATGGATGGCTTTGGAGCTGAATGAGTAACTCTCCACACGACCTGCTCCAACTTGCTCCAACAGCAAGTGCCATGGGTTTAATTGGCTCTGCCAGGGCCACACTCAGCAGCAGTCGGGTAAATCTGAGTTATTTAATGTTTCATCTGGAGCTCCAACACCTCTGGCACGGAGGGGGCTCCAGGCACGGGGCTGAGACAGCAATTCCCAGCTCAAAACCACCCTGGAAATGTTCTACAATCACAATCCAGGTCCTGGTGGTGACTCACAGAGCAGCTTCACGTGCTGTGGAGATTAATTGGGAATTTTTCCAAGYGCTGAGCTCTGTCCCAGTTTGGCTTTTCCAGAGTTGGCTGCCCACTTGGAACAGGTAAAGAGCCAGGGGCTGTTACCTGCCCTCAGAATGCTCAGTCCCAGCTCTCCAGGCTGCCATTCAGGCTCGTTAAATATTTCCAGCCACACCTTGATGAAGTCAACCCTTACTGATGCATCTTTTAAAAAGATTTCCTTTTTTTTTTTTTTTTTTTTTTTTTAAACACATAGTTTTATAATGAAACATGAAAACGTGGTGCATTAGGGAAAGTGTGAGTAGAAGAAAACTTTTTTTTATTTCAGAACCTGACAGGTGAGAATAGCCAGGAATTCTGAACACCTGTTTTTAAGGTGGATGTGTTCTTTTTTTCCCTGTTTTTTAGGGAATTCCAGGGGCACTGCAAGAGGTCACGAGCAGTGATTCATGGCACATCTCAAACTCGGAATCCGGATTTCCTGGAGCAGTTTCCTGAGCTCAGCAGCGATCTGAGCCGTGTCACCAGCTTTGTCCTCCCCGCCTCTGCCGGGGCAGATTGTGCACACAGGGAAACAGAGGAGGAAAAACCTCCCCAAGGCACGCTCAGGGTCACGTATTTGTGAGGGAGTGTTTGGGTTTTCACGTGTTCGTGGTGCTGTGCAGAGCTGTGCAATGGTTTGGGTTGGAAGAACCCTTTAAAGACTCTTGTAAAAATGACATTTTTCACTGCTCAGCTCTCCCTGGAGAGGCTCCCAAACCCCCCAGAGCAGATATTTCATGGTGAATCCATGCACAACTTCCCAAAGTTTCAGCCTTCCACTGAAAATCACCCGGGTTGTGTTGTGACAGGACCGAGGGGTGTCTGTTCTCTGTGCTGGCGCTGCTGACACCCCTGAAATTGTGGGGTTAATTCTGGGCCCTCGCAGCAAAAGAGACATTGAGGGGCTGGAGGGGAAGGGAACGGAGCTGGGGAAGGGTGGGGAGCACCAGGAGAGGCTGAGGGAGCTGGGAAGGGGCTCAGTCTGGAGAAAAGGAGGATCAGGGGGGACCTTGTGGCTCTGACAGGAGGGGACAGCCGGGGGGATCAGGCTCTGCTCCAGGGAACAGGGACAGGAGGAGAGGAAACGGCTCCAAACCGCCCCGGGGGAGGTTTAGGTTGAATATTGGGAAATATTTCTTCAGCAAAGGGTGGTCAGGCATTGAAACACTCTGCCCCAGGTTGAGTCACCATCCCTGAAGGAATTCCAGCGCAGTGTGGATGTGGCACTTGGCAGCGCGGGGTCGGATTCGATGGATGCTCTCGGGGCGGTTTTTCCCATCCGAACCGTTCCGTGCCCGCACCATCCCGTCCGTGGCTGGCTTTGGCGGATGCAGCGGGCGGAGGATCTCCGCAGCCCCTCCCCGGTGCCTCCCGCCCGCCCCCCGCCCCGCCCCGGCCCGGCCCGGAGCCGCTGGGTGCCCATCCCGGCGGCGCTCGGAGCCAGCCCGCTGCGGGCTCCCGGCGGCAGCGATGCCGCTCGCCCAGCTGGCCGAGCCCTGGCCCGACATGGAGCTGGTGCATCTGGACACGGAGGTGAGCGSCACGGCCGGGGGGCACCGGGGCCCGGGGGATCCGCCGAACAAAGGAGCGCCCGGCGGGACCGCGGAGCGGCGGCTGCGGAGCCGCCCGGCCCGACCGCTCCCGGCGGCGGAGAACGGGGCTGCTGGAGCCCGGGGCTGCCGGGGCTGCTCCGGTAACGCTCCGGTACCGATCCCGTATGGCTCAGGGGCTGCTCCGGTACCGATCCCGTATCGCTCAGGTACCGCTCCGTGGCTGCCGGGGCCGCTCCGGTACCGATCCCGTATCGCTCAGGGGCCACCGGGCTGCTCCGGTACCGCTCCGGGATCGCTCCGGTACCGCTCCGGAGCTGCGGGGGCTGCTCCGGTACTGATCCGGTACCGCTCCGGGATCGCTCCGGGGCCACCGGGCTGCTCCGGTACCGCTGCGGGGCTGCTCCGATACCGATCCGGTACCGCTCCGGGGCCGCCGGGCTGCTCCGGTATTTCTCCGGGGCCGCTCCGGTACCGCCCCGGTATTACACAGGTATTGCTCCGGTATCGCTCAGTGGCTGCTCCGGTACCGCTCCGGTATTGCTCCGGGCTGCTCCAGTCCCGTTCCGGTATCTCTCCGGTATCTCTCCGGTACCGCTCCGGTATTGCTCCGGGCTGCTCCGGTACCGCTCCAGGGGCTCCGGTATCGCTATGGTATCTCTCCGGTACCGCTCCGGTATCGCTCCGGTTCCGTTCCGGTACCGCTCCGGTATCGTTATGGGATCGCTCCGGTTCCGCTCCGGGCTGCTCCGGTTCCGTTCTGGTATCTCTCCGGTATCTCTCCGGTATCTCTCCGGTATCTCTCCGGTCCCGCTCCGCTGTCGCTCCGGGGCTCGGGTGCCCTCCCGGGCTGCGGTGCCGGGGGCTGCCGGGGTCGCTGCTGCCCGTGCGGGCTGAGATTGCTCGGGGAGGGCGGGCAGAGCTCCCAAACCTCCCGGGCACGGAGGAGAGCGGACACGGCTGAGGGCCCAGGGGATAAATAGAATAAATAGGATAAATAATAGAATAAATAGGGTAAATAATAGAATAAATAGAATAAATAGAATAAATAGAATAAATAGAATAAATAGAATAAATAGAATAAATAGAATAAATAGCTCTGTTTTGGGGGGTTTCTCGCTCTCCCTCCCGGCACCGGCTGCTCACACAGGCCTGCGCTGTCAGCTCCGATCACACTCCTGGGGCGCTTTGCTGGACCTCTGCTCTCGCCTCCCTCTTGGCTCTTTTTCTCCTTATTCAGACCCTCCTCAAAAAGCCCCATGTGCAGGATGGAGCTCATCCCCTCCACCTCTGCAGGCTGGCACCACAGCCCTTTCCCAAGGAAGGGACAGCTTGCAGCAGTTGTCTCAGCCGGCTGAGGCTCTGTGCTCTGGCACTCTTCAGTTAAACATTTCTCACCCAAATCAGAGCCAGCAGCTCTCCAGGATAAACCAGAGGGAGGGTGGGCACTTTGCCCCAGGTGCTCTCCTGTCATTCTGTCTGAATTCAATGCTGTCACACTTTGATCGTACCTGGAGATGTCTCGATGGATCATTGGTCAGATTTGCTGGTTCCTATTTTAAATTGCCTCCTCAGAGGGCTGTGCTTTGAGCAGAGGCAGCGTTTCACCCCCGTTACAGGGACAGCAAGGATGTGTTCTGGCCAATCGAGGTGAGGTTTCCTAATTTTCATCAGGCAGGAATGGCACAGCTTCTCTCCCTGTGCAGGTGGGGAGGGTCTGCCTGGCACAAAGGGGCGGTGGTGAAGARCATCTGCTCTGGAGGGAAATCCTGCAGCAATTCCCAAATCATCCCATACCCGGAGCCAGGGTGGAGGTTATCGCCGGGAGACAGCGCTTTTTATTTGTGGTTTCTCCTTCCCTAAGAAGGGAAATGCCTGAAAAGCCAGAAAACACCACTGGATTCATAAAGGGAGGGAAGTGATGGAGGTGCCCAGGGTGAGAATTCATTCAGTTCCTGATCCTGGATCGGTGTAAAAACCACGGGATCATTTCTGAGCAGACACAAACACTGCCGGGGGTCCGGGYTGTGTCASCCCCAGCAGCTCCAGGCTCAGGGMAGGGCAGGGACTGCTCTCCTCATGGCATTAATGACGATTGTGTTAATTGTAAACTGAGCCTCTGGCTCTCCCCTTCCCCCATCTCACCTTGGCCGCGGCTCCGGGTCAGGGTCAGCTGGGATTTCAGCAGATGAGATTTTTTTTTTTTTT